GTGTGTGTGTGTGTGTGTGTGTGTGTGTGTGTGTGTGTGTGCAGTCTCAGAACGATACGACACCCATGCCCAGGCTGGTTCTGCTTTGACCAATGGTGCCTGGCATTGGGTGGGTGGAGGTGGGGGGTGAGGATGGGGTTTGAACCTCCCACTGGTGTTGATGAAGACAAATGAGCTAACAAGACATGACGGAATTGCTTTTGCAAAAGGGGAGGCGGGGGTGGGGGGTGGGGTGCTGAATGCTATGTATTGTGTTGAGGGTGGCTAAAGGGGCAGGTTGATTTATTGTTGCAGCAGCAGATAGCCATCATTTTACCTCCCCTCCCTACTTAATTCAACAAGACCCCGCGGTCTTTAATTACAGACCCCAGCCTTTTCCATTCTCTCATCCATGTCCTTATTAGAAGACTGAGAAAGCACACCTCGTCCATGCTAACATGAGATATACATATTATATAAGAGGCAGAGGCTGGGGTCAAAAATGTCACAGCCATGTTGGGTTTGCGCTTTTCTAATGCCTCATGATCAAGAAATTTCAGAAGTGACACAAGAACTGAAGAGTAATGAAACAAAGTTAAAGAAAAAAAACTTGTTCAAAAAACACTACACATATGGACATAATGTGACAAATGTAAGAAAAAGAACAATTCTCACAGGAAGGATGAAGGTTACAGAAATGTTAAAAATGTGCAGGAGTGGAGCCCTGTGAATTTTGACAGAAAAAAAAGAGAAAAGTAAAATAAGAAAATGCAGAAAAGTGGAACAGTTTAAGCACTGAAGCAGTTCCTGTTAAAAAGACAATACACAATCTAAATGTATTAACAAGTGGACAGCACATCATGCAGGTATATCATTTCTCTGATGTGAAGGAAAACGGGTGAGGAGAGGAGTAAAAATATGCACGGCTCATTCCCCCCTCACAATTTATCACTGCAATGCTGCTCGCTCACTGAAATATCAGCCTATTAAAACATTCATTGAGCTGATTAAACTGCAATAAAATTGAACTAAATTTCCACTGATACATTCAGTGCATGATTTATTAGGCTTTGCGTGGGCCTCTCAACCMCTGATAACAGAGGGAAAAATCAGATGCTACTGCCACCTTTTGGTTGAGTGSGATTGTTTCGTTAAAGCAGAAAGAAGACCAGATTTATGTGARAATATGTAAAATAATAATGAATCATCTGCTTTTTCTTGAGTCTGTTCTTATTTTTGCTGATACTGACATTTTTCTTGCATTTCACAAAACAAGCAGTGAGTACTTTTTATTAAACCAAATATTTTTGCTGCTCAAGCACATTTTAAACCTACACTCAGTTAGAAAATGACCTATAGCATTTTATAATTTGTATTGCATGCATGGCAAAAGGAACAAAAGGCAAAGTGTCATGTTTTAGCCAATGGTTTTTTGAGTGTGTGCACTTGGCAACACCAACAAAATCTCYAATCCAGTCAATTTTACAAACATTGAGCTAAAATTTGATGTGACTATTGTTGAGAGTCATAACRTCTTGTTGTATCACATTAAATTCAGCAAAAGTTATTTTGAAGGTTTGACCAAAATAGCTACAACTCAGTAATATACATAGAATGATTTTAAACTAAAATATTGGCATGAAAGTTGGTAGGTGATATGCATTTCTTCAAATGCATTTGTTTTTCTTTTTTTAGTTTTTTTTTTTTTTTAGTTTTACTATACACAAGTAATTTTTTTGTTTAGTTTTTTAACAAGTATTAAAAATAAAAGGGTAAATTCACATCTTTGAAATATCTCAGCACCCTCTTTCTGCTCATTTAAATCAGCATATTCAGTATGTTTCATCCTCAATTAAGCTCAACATGATGTAACCACTTGATAATTATCTTGTATATTTGTTGAGGGGTCAGACTGTGACAACAGATCTGACTGCATCAGTTAAGGTGGAAGTGTTTTGTGTTGAACTGCTGTTGTATTGATCCATATGGTTTATTACAGGCAGCCCGAGTGTTAACAGTGTCTGGGAAGTCAGGAATGGGGATTACCTGGAAATGATGCTATTGATCGGGGGGGTTGCCTCAGGAGAGCGGTACATGTCACTCAACCCGACAGAAGCAAACTACAATCTAATTTTAAGAAAAATGCTTCGCAAAAGAGGCAGAGCACAAAATGCTATCTGAGGTGGGAATATGACAAGGTGGGTTTTGCACACTGTGATGTGTCTACTTTCAAGGCTCATTATACTGTTAGAGAGGAGAGGTCTGAGTGTTGAATCTGTTCTGGCTTTTACTCATTTTAGTTTCCACTGATTTGAGATGTCAACGCTTTCACAAGCCTTGTTTCTCTACAGTGTTGTAACATGCTGATTAATATAAGGGTCATAATGTCTTCATAATCAAACTGAATACAATGATGTTTCATTTTTATTTTTAATAATTCAGAAGTTTAACATCTCCACCACTAAGATCATTGGTAGAATTGGTGTGCAGAGCAAAGGTTTAGATTCTCCAGGCTGACAGCTCAGCAAGAATCTGTAAATAAATCTCCTTATTGACCTTGTAAGTCCAAAGATCAAAAATGTGAGTAAAATTTATCCTGAGATTATAGTAGAAATTCTATTCAGGCAAGTTGTTAAAACACAAGCGTGTGTGTGTGTGTGTGTGTGTGGGGGGGGGGGGTATCAAGATGCCTGAGCCTCATAGTTGTTATCTCAGTCTGCACTGGTATGACAGTCACACCAGCGATACATTGCTGCATATCTCTTTGTCTTCTGGCTTCAGTCGATCAGTGAGTTAAAAATAACATTGACCCTATTCCAACCCCCACCCCCACTGTATTTTCATATTATTCCCAAGACAAACAGTTAAAAATATATAAAAATGTTTATATAACAGAATAAAAGTAATATAACTTCAACTGCATCTACATTTTCTATTTAAAAGTCGAGTCGAGTAAAAGCAAAAGTTTTCAATTTTAATCAAAGCAACTTTGGCCTGATGTGGGTTTGTAATTTCCCCATTGCTTTAAAGGATTAGTAGAAGCTCATAAACATAAAAACAAACATTGATTTTGAGCGATTAAAAATCTAAATCTAGGTTTTAACCTGGGTCTCACATCAATTAATTAATAGAAGAAAAAATGTTTTCTTCTGGGAAAATATATTTTCATTCTATACAGGTCATCAAGACCTTATCCTGACTTATAAC